AACATTAAGTGTAGTGTATGAACTGTCTGGGTTTGTAAAGTTGTTTCTACTAAGTTACTGGATACACAACATTCCAACATTAAGTGTAGTGTACGAACTGTCTGGGTTTGTAAAGTTGTTTCTACTAAGTTACTGGATACACAACATTCCAACATTAAGTGTAGTGTATGAACTGTCTGGTTTTTAAAGTTTTTTCTCAGTAAGTACTGGGAACGTAACACTCCAACTGATGGTCAGCTCTTACCTTAGAGAAGGGCCTGAACTATTGAATATTTCATCTGTTAAAATACTTCCCAACATACTGTTTATGAATCGCTGGATTTTTATTCCAACTGTCAAGTCATTGTTATCATATATTTATCATCAGAAATTCTAGAACTTAGTTTATATAAAAATGAAAGGGGAAGAGGGATATCAGTAATTTTTTTCCTCATCTCAAATTTTGGCAAAACTCGCAAGGAATAATCATTGGTTGATATATTGATCAGAATTTAATTTGAAACAGAATATACATGATAACACAGAGTTTATAGATACTGTAACACCTGTGTGCTCAGGTGTTAGGAACCGTAACATCTTTGTGGTCAAATATCATAGGAACCATAATGTGGTCAGGATTCAGCTTAGTTCAGTAGAGAAATTTGAGCTTATAAATGGTCAGGTGTAATGAAGATTTCTTTTGTTTCAGGTTGCTTTGCCCCCAGTGGCACTGGGGTATGTCTGCGGACTTACAACGCTTGAAACCGGGTTTCGATACCCGAGGTGGTCAGAGCACAGATAGCCCATTGTGTAACCTTGTGCTTAATTACAAACAACACAAACAGGTTGCTTTCTTGCTAACATTTCTGTCTCCACAACTTGAGAGAAAAGTTGACTAAACACTTTCCTCACTCACATTATTGATACACAAAAGTCAAAGTACAAAGAGCACAAAAATGATGAATGTAATCCTCAGAATAAGGAACTTGAGTGTTTGAAAGGGTTTTTGAGTACATATTGTCTTTAGCCCCAGGAAGGCTAACGAGTCACTAAAGCTAGGGTAAAGAAGTTCCCTAGGAGAGATTATGAAGTGAAAAACTATTGTTCATGTGTTTATTTTGTATAACGCTACATAACCACCAGTACCTTCAAGAATCTTGGGTTTTGAGAGCAGGCATCCTTATCTGTGCAAAATGAACATTTTAAAAGATGTAATTTATGTACTATTAGCTAAAATCATAACATCTTTTCCTTTAACAGAAAACTTTCTGACCAACCAGTGCCCATGTTTTAACAAGCACAATATCATCTTTAACAGAAAACTTTCTGACCAACCAGTGTCCATGTTTTAACAAGCACAATATCATCTTTAACAGAAAGTTTTCTGTTGAAAGAGTACAAAGAAGATGATTAAGTTGGTTCATTCTTGAACTGTTAGAAATAACAGCACACATGTAAACATAAACTGATCCAGAAATGGTGTGTTTTGATTCACCACAGATGACATATTTAGAGTGACTTGACCAAGTTTTTGGAACAGACACTTTGATGTTCTTTGGACTCCTCAACAGTTAGACTTACTGCCTCTTAATGTATGAGATGTATTGTCCTCATCTCTGGAGCTGTTGCAAACATCAGTGAGGTTTTGTTGGATCATGTTGTCCAAATCTCTGGAGCTGTTGCAAGCATCAGTGAGGTTTTGTTGGATCATGTTGTCCAAATCTCTGGAGCTGTTGCAAGCATCAGTGAGGTTTTGTTGGATCATGTTGTCCAAATCTCTGGAGCTGTTGCAAGCATCAGTGAGGTTTTGTTGGATC